TTAAAAGTAATAGTTAGTTGCTAAAGTGATAGCAAAACCTGAACGTTCAGTTTCACTTAAGCATCTACTGTGTTTAACTTCTTAGACAAATTACAGAGGCACAGTGACTAGGCATTTATAGATTATGCTAGCATAATTTTTGGCATAATTCGAGCAAACTGGCATAATTTCTGCCAAGTAGCAATGCTAGCATAATTTGCGCATTTTGATAATTATCAGATCATTTTTGATGCCATTATTTGAAAGTCTTACTTGTTCAACCTTCTTCTGCTGCCGCAGAAAGAGTTTTTAGCCTGCTTTCAGCATCTTTCCATGAGCAGCAAGAGAATGCACTTTCTGACTACTTGCAAGCAAGTGTAGTGCTGCAATATAACAATCGCAGATAAGCTACACGAGAGTATAATCTAGTACCAGTGTGCATGTTAACTTGAACCACATGTTTATTTGAAATTCATTGTGGATTTGTTGCGTTTCTTTCCTGTAGACGAACGGCTTCTAGTTAAAAAATATATATTTTGGACTTATTTGCATTTTTTCAAAGAGCACAATTTAAAAAAACGGTGGCATAATTTGGAAAAAAGAGCATAATGTTAGCATAATTTGGCCAAAAAAAAAAGCAATGCTACTAGCGTAATATGCCACTTTTACTAGCATAATCTATGAAGGCCTACTGGCAGCCGTGTTTAGTCCGTAGCGATTTCACCTACCCACCCAACCCACCTCAGGGAGGACATCCATCACACAGTAATCTCGCGCGTGGGAAATTAACGTCTCCTACCCCAACCCTGCAGGAGACGGGACTTCCATTAATTCTTCCCCATCCGAGAAGACTAGAATATCTAACCATTTCTTGATGTTAAAGAAAGGACGCATATTGTTCTCAATTAATTTTAAGACCCTGAGTGTTGGTCCGGCCGGTATTGAACTCTCGACCTCCAGCACAGCAGTCCGGCGCTCTCCCAATTGAGCTAACCAGACGGCGGTTCCAGAGAATTTACAGAAGCTGCAAACATGTCAGGTAATTTGAATTCGCTGAGAAGTTATTCGCAGCAGCCCTTATAGATGATGCCACTGTTGACGGCAAAATGGCTTGCACGGTCGCGCTTGTCGACGATGCACGGGGTATTCGGAATGCCCGGTTTAGTTCAGAAGTCGTTGACACCTCGTTTCCAGCGGTCACCATTTGAAGTTGCTATTTGAAGTCCATTTCCTTGTCGCGGCAAGTGGCTCAAGTTTCTGATCACCGCGTTGACAATTTCGTGAACAGAGCTAGCAGACTGCACGTTATTACATGCCATGTTTGCAGCTTCTGGAAATCCTCACAAGGGAATTTCCCGCGCGAAGAAATTCTCACATTCCCGTATGCTAATAGCACCACTTCCTGTGATACCATATAAGGATATACCTTGTTACATCCAGTTAAAGAGTCAATCAGTTTCCGCTTCCCCTCGACTAGTTTTTTTTTTTTTCGATGTTAATTGTTCCGCTCCACTGCACTTTTTCGTTGGCCATATTTTCTCGTCAATTTTTAAACCTAAAACCGCATTTTTTATTTTATTTGAAGTAAAGTTTTATTTATTCGACCACACATTTTTAATCTCACTGTTTATTTCTCCAAGTAAGTCAATTCTTTTTTTTAGACTTATCTTTGTCGGCAACGAAACGCCATAGTAGACAGTATTCTGAAAATCCCCCCCATCTGATTGGTTCCGGGAGTGGGCACTATCTCGCCCGCTCCACTTTTGCCGGCCGGGAAACATTTTTAAGCAAAGACAAAATTTTGAAACACATTTCCCAAAACATTGAAAATTAAGAGTCTTTAAGAAACAGTCAAAGAGAAGTCACTTTGTCGCAATCCTAGCAGAAAGACCGGGCCAAAGAAATCGAAGGCAGAAGATATTGATGAAGCGAAAAGTCTGACCAATCACGGTTTCCATATCACTGAGAGTGAGCCCTAAAACTCCCGTAAAAATAGCATATATCTGCAGACTTTCGATCACTAAGGACGAGAGAATAGGCCATGGAGAGCGAGCGCACAAAAATCAGAGGGGTTTGAGAGGGAGTGACGAGGGACGGGCGAGGGGAGAGGGGCGAGACAAGTGAATTTGTCCTTCCCTCTCCCCAGGTCCCGCCACTCTTTCCTCGTTCAACGCAGTCAAGGCTGACGGAGCTTATTCTGAGGTTTCCCGATGAAGGGTTGGGATGGTATCTATTAAAACTCCTGGGAGAGACGGGTGGGGAAGTTATATATTGTGACGGACCGATGTGTTGCACAAAACACGGACGAAAATCTCTTTTTTTCTCTCAAATTTTAATGTTAAACGTGAGCCTGGAATCTGACATATTGAAGTACTTTTACTATTAATATTCAAACCCAAAGTATTCTAGTTTCCAGTTTTCAGGAGATCACTAGAAAGACCCATACATACACACATCTTTATTTAACGAGGGTAACATATTAACCTACATAAGTTTTCTAACATATGGCCCTCAGCTCACACGCACATGATGTGTCTCAAGTAACATCTGAGTATTTCAGTACTAATGTAACTGAACTTATTTTCAGGTAATTAAAAAAAAAATGAGAAGGAATGTTAAACGTTACAGCAGAAAACATTCACTGGTAATCAATACTGCAAGATGAATCCTGGAGGATGCCACGATTCTGATATCAAGGAAAAACTTTTCTCGCGGTTTTGAGCAAAAACTGCAAAGGCCAGATCTAGCCAGAACACTTCTTGGAGGGGAGTTAAAAAATCTTTCAGCTTTAAAATAAAGCTTTATTAATTAGACTTTGCATTTTAATGAATTCGAGCACTCATGATAATAAAAATGATGCCGATAATAGTAATTTTTAATTCTAAATGACTTGTTCCAAGAGTTCGTCTAGTTAATGTTTCTCGATGCGCTCTTCGTTCACTAAAATAGCTGTTCAGATAGCTTCAGCTGGTTCCCGGATGTCAACGTGGTAAGCGCAGGAATGGCCCGCGGCCTGGCCAGATGAGACACACAGAATTGCGGTGAAAATTTGCGCTGGTGGTATCATAGATATATGGGTTTTCTTCGTAATGCCTTGGTTCTACCCATCAGTCCATCTTTCATACGAGTGAACGAAGAAGTGCTCGACTTCGGCCGATCACTCGACGAAGACGGCCGAAGCTTTTCAGTCGACTGACTCCGAAGTCTGTCCAATGAAAACGGTCCTTTTGAAGACTGCTTCGGCTTCTCTTCGGTAACCGAATTTTCAGTCCAATTATATGATGAGCGTGATCTTAATTTATCGACCGGAAGAGGCCGCTTCAGTTCGCCAGCGGAGGAACCTTTAACTTTATGAACAGTAAAAGGTATCTTGGGTTTGTCATCATTGAAATAATCACCCGTCTTTTCGGTGGGTGAGTGCAGCTTCTTAGAAGTTGCGCTCTTCATCTTTTCCACGTTAAACGGTCCTTGAGTGCGGTTTTTAGCTTCACTGGACTGAGCATCCTTTTTATTCACGCGGTCATTGTTCTTACTATCAAAGGCATTGGATATACGATTGTTGTTGTTGTTGTTGTTGGTGTTGTTGTTTACTTTGTAATCTTCGCCATCTCCCTCCTCAATCCGTCTCATTCGTGTATGAAATTCAAACGGTCGTGACAGTGATTTGGAACTGTCTTGTGAAAAACGCCCTAACCGCTTCTTTTTCTCACTCTTTTCAAACGACGGAGTCCTTTTAACAAACGAAGGCACTTTCAAATTTCCAGAATCTTTCATTTTTTCACGACTACGGATAAAACTTGACACTGACTTCTGCACGACTTCTCTGGCCTGTTTATTGTCTTCTGATGTAGTAACTTCATGAAAAGCACAATTCAATTCCATCGAGAGACTTTCCCCTTCCTCATATTTAACGCGCCGAAAATGTTCAAGGTCACACTTGTTGGCCACGATTGCTATGGCAACAGAATCTGCGGTACTGTCCTTTACAAAGCGAGCAATGCGCTTTGCTTCTTCAAAACTGGAACGATCCGTGATAGAGTACAAAATGATGAAAATGTCACCCTGACGGGAAATGAGACTTAACTTCTCGGCCGTGTTCTGCAAACAGGAAAGCACAGTGTTAACTACACAAAAACTCATTGTCATACCTTGCATTACTTTTTCAGCGCTTTTCATTTTCTCCCTTTTCGCTTACTCGAGTTGTCCAGATTTCCGACGTTTGGTCGAGTTAGGTCTTCGATTCTTGATCGCGAAAGAAGCGTGAGCTCATTTGCTGACCAGCAACTGATCATCCAGCCTATGACTGGTAGCTCAATTCATGTATAAAACACTTGTACCAGACGCATTTATAACATAACCAAAGTAAAGCGCGCGCTCTGATTGGTCAATTTAGCGTCCCCCATTTGCCCATGGGTGTACGCTGCTCACGTGAGCAAATACAAAGACTATTTTTCCGCGCGCGCTTGTTTTTTCTGGTCGCGTAAGATTTGTTAAATAAAAGGGAACTCTTTAACTACAATGTATCAATGTTATGTTATAAAACAAATGGTAAACACCACAGCGTACACTATTGAGTTATGGATGCACTTAGGAGGTTTGCTAAGCACTCAAGAAGCTAGAGTCGCTCTCGGCTATCGCCTCGAGCAACTCTTACGCTTCTTTCGTGCTTAGCAACCTCCCGCGTGCATCCATAACTCAATAGTATACGCTGTGGTGTTTACCATTTGTTAATTAAACGTATCTAAAAGACAAAGGAATATGACAACGTACCTCTCCCGCAGTATCCGCGATCTCCAACTCTACCTCTTCATTTTCTGTTTCAATCTGATACTTGTAGGTTCCCTCTGAGAAGGGAAGGTAAAATAAAAATAAAGTGTCACTACTAACATCAATTATTGTCAATCAAATTCTAATATAATTGCAATCTGTAGGCGATCATTCGATTTTGACGAAAGTTTTTTTTCTCAAAGTAAGATAAAATCCGATGTCTGACGGCTTGTTACAAGGATTCAGTTAGTGAAGCGGAGCGCGGAAAAAGTAAACGGCGCGGTAGTGGCGGCAGAGAGACTGGCGCGAGTAAACAGCTTTTTTTATGATTAACTGCTCTAATTCAGCTAAGCTTTTGTTTTGAAATTATCCACTTACCTATTGCCCGGGCATATTCTCCAATAAACCGCCTGGTCATAAACCTTACAATCAGGGCTAGAGGAAAGATCAATTCAACTGGTCAATGAATGCTTTTTATCTAAGCGACCTAGTACACGATGTAAAAACAAACAAACAAACAAAAAAACTGACATTGAAGACATTCTACTGGTAAAAAAGTGGAATGAAAGTAGAGAAAACATTTTCCACACTGGAAAATTGGGCGAATAAAATTTTGTGGAGTGATGATAACAGAGGAAAATTGATTTAAAGAACTCCCACACTTTTGATGAATAGAAAATAATCGAGTAAGAGATTTTGCTGAAAATAAATTTATGTACCTTGAGATAACTTAATCTACGCGCAGTTCAAAATGGTCTCTGTACACCTCTATGAAAACAATGCAAGCTTATTTTAAGGTAAATGAATTTTGTGATGGCACAAAGTTACGAGGCAGCATTTCAAAGAACAATCGAGAGGCCGCATTTAATAATGGGGACTCAATTTATTCTACTAGACTTTGATCGAAAGAAATCAATCATGTGTTGTGATTAAACAAAGACGATCATTACTAATAGCTAATAGAGAGTGCTCAAACGTCAAGTGAATAGATAACTTGACTGAGCTTTTGTCCAACAGGGGCCTTAGAATGACAGATTTTTACAACGAGGCTGAACTAATTAACAAAAGATAAAACTCCATCTGCTTCGAAACACATTTTTTCGAACCACACAGACTCAATTTTTGGCATTTTTAACAAGGCGCAGTTTTCCCATGAATCTAACCCTCTGAGCCTCAGGCTTAGTGATGAAATACTTGAATGGCTTTGAAAAAGCTTAAAATATTCCTAAGGTTTCGTTAGGAAGTATTGCAGACAGTTCCATACAATGAGTAGCTTAAAGAGGCACTGTCAATTCTAAAAACCAAGTGGCCTTTGGAAAGAAAATTCTTTACTCGAATTCAATCACAGCGGACCATAATAAACACTTAAATTCTGAGGTGATTGTCACTGTTATTATCTTAACAATAGAACAGCTCCGACGTGCAATGATAATTAATATGATTACGAGATTGCAAGATGCGTTTTAGCTTACCCGATTTGCCGACTCCAGCCTTTCCCAGTATGTAAGCCTTGGCTGGTTTAATGGATAACTGATTAGGCCTGCGTCTTCTCATGATCTGCGCCTTTCTCGTTTTAACAGTTCACACGGAGTTAATAATAATTACAACCGGCACCTGAAAAGAATTGAAAATATCAAAGACAACAATGAATTCCTAAGCGGATTTGAGATGATACGTCACTTAATTGTGTACAGCGAAAACATTTTCCTACATTTTTCCAGTTCGTCATTTGCAGACCTCTTTGACTTCTTCATGTTTTGTCATGCACCCTTCTTTTCGAGCAGTTCTTGACTATCATTTTAAAAAAAACTGCATGTTTTTTCTTCGCACGAAAATTGTTATTTACAGGTCACTTACAATGACCCTTCAACTTTTAGAAGTGATGAACATGTAACTTCTCCCTTTATTATCCATACATTATCCAACAAATAGGTTATGAGAATACTCAAACTCATCAGGTAAAAATTGTTTTCTTGTACTAACACCAAGTTCTCGTAACTGATTTATAAAGAAATGTGTGTAGCAGCTCGAGGGGAGAAGCGACGATCAGATCTTGTGAGTTATAAACTCCAATTTTCCACATACAGAAAATGAAATCAAAATGCTCCGATTCTGCCCGAGAGAAAAGGTCAAGTTCGTTGTATGGTGCAATTTCCTAAAGAAGACAAATTCAACCCTACTCCATCTTCTTAACTTTTCCAATCTTATTTCTGGATGACAAAAAAAGGAATAATTCTTTTGAATCTAAGCTTGGCTGATCTAGTTGGTTATAATTTACGAACACATTCAAGGACTTGCTCTGAGAGGATTTTAAAAATTCGGACAGAGACGTTGAAATCTCGCATATTCGTTACTGCCGAGGTAAAAAACGTTTTTTGCCTTAATCGCGGTTTTGATTACAGCTTACACTTTTGTTATTATCATCAAAATAACACTTAAGACAAGCTGATTTCCTTTTAATTACAATCATAATGGACCATACTATGGATGTGATAAATTTCATGAATGCCGTTACGGATGACTGAGTTCGACCACTCATCGAATTGATGTTAGTACCTTCCAGAAATTTTCCTTGAAAAAGTTCTCGATAATTACAAACACTTCTAACTGACAGCTACCCGGGTTATTGATTCCCTAATCTTGTTAATCCACTCTGCTATTTGAATGAAATGAAAAAAATTGTACAACCGAAAAGTAAAAAAAAACAACTCAATTCAATGTTTGTTTTGGTGGGAATAAAAACCGTTTAAACAGACATTAACAAAGTGCCGCACGCCCAATGGACAGGCGAAAAGTTTATACAAATATCATAATTTAATTCAAATATCATAATTTAAGTATGATGAAAGACTTTAAATCTATCTTTTGAACATATACGGAAATCAAGTAGTTGTTGTTCGCTAAGAACCTACAAATCTCTTCATTACCTTCCTTGGAGTTGCCCGTGAAAAGAGCGTCACACTTTTATGGTTCGACCATCTTTCAACGATTTCTCTAAGTCTGCGACAGAGCGACTTACTTCAATGGTACATCTCGCCGAATAATGCACGATCTGTGGTGGATATATCCTAGCGATAAGAGAAACGTGCCTCTTGTGATTCGCTACCTCTGCGTAAAGCGTCATATTCAAAGGTCGTAGCAATTAGATAGCTTTAATCTTTTTCAACAGTGGCTAGTCACGTTTGGAAACAATAAATTATATAACTTGCCTACCGGAAAAAAAAGGTACTTAACTCATCGGTTATCACAGAAAAACACACCCAATCTTAAAAGCACGAATCATAATATTTGCACGTACTCATCCGATTTCTATTAAACGGATTTCAAGGTGAAATTCCAAACACTGATTAATGTACAAGTGGGTGCCAAAAAATTGAGATTCTATAACCTCTGAAATTTGATTCTCCAAATCGTTGATGCTTTTGTTATGGTCCTAAACTTTTCAAAGCGGTATTCTTAGAAGAAAGGACCACCAAAAAAGATGTACGATCTCATTTCAGGTCGTGGCTTTAACACTACACTCCTTAAGAGTGACCAGCATCTAATTTCTCCTTTCAATATCACCCCTGAATCACACATTAAGGTCAGGAGAATAAAGGAAATGATCACTAACGAAAGACGCTCTTAATTGTTACACAAATTCTCCTCGTCAGCATCTCAGGAAATGTGTCGAGAACAGTTTGGAGAATATATGAATACTAGTGTTAAGTTAATGCTCGCTCCTGATCCTCTGAGGCGGAAACTCTCAAAACGAAAAAAATTTTCCAGGATGGAATGGAATCAGGATATATCTTCGTGTGACAACCGAGTTTAACAATATCAAAACATCCTGGACTGCGCACGAAAATCCCCTTCCCGATTCAGCCACACCCTGTAAGAAATTTCCGCTGGTGCCCTCTCACTACAGTAGCATTAAGCATTTAATTTTTAGCTCATTCTTCCACCCTGATACTTTGTAAATCACATAATTATAGAGACGGAGCTTAAACCGTACATACGATAACAACATGTCTAAAATAGCCTTATGATAGGATTAGCAAGTCATTTTCAAGTACATGTTAAGTAGATTCGACCTTCTGTTTTACTTAGCAAAGATGCGGAAAGATAAACACCAGTTTGCTAGAGTATCAGCTTTGTGAAAGCGTTGTCGTGAGTTGAAACACGAGGAGGATTTCACTAACTATTCCGGAAGGTTATTTCAACCACTAAGAAGATCGAGAAGGCCTTTGCCGTTTCGCAGTCCATCGATTGTCGATTGACAACATGCAATTTATTTAGTTGTGCGCGCGAACGTGGAGGCTGGCTGATCGCACATCGTCAATTTTGCGCAAACCATATACCAAATCTATGAAGTAATTATTTCTTCGGATTCAACATCTTTTAAGCTTTACGATGATATGCGCTTTTTATGGTTTTTATTAAACTCGACGTATACACGAACGATTATCTTTAAGACACTCCTGAAGGTCTACAGTATCTTAAAGTCGGCATGAAGTATCATTTTGTTATTCACTGCAGACTGTTGCAAATTTTGAACATTGAGTTGTAGTCAGACACTTTTTATCACTTGGATGATTCATGTTTATGGTAAATTAAGAGCCTCTGGAAATTATCCCTTGGAAGTTTTTTATCCAAAGGACGTTTTTACTTAAAAGAGTATTTAAAGAGGATGTTTTTACGTACCACCGAGGAGGTTTTTTTATACTGTTTGTATGTTTTAACGTAATCAATCCTAAAACCGCATAGGGCATGATTCTAATGTTTAGGGGGTTCTCGAACCTTAATTTTTTTTTTTTAATTTCAGTTATAGCAACTTGTAATAAAATATATTTCATTTGATCTGTGGATGAAAATCGAGCAAAGAAATGATCTCCGCAGAGACTACAATTAAAAGAATTTCGGAAAAGAGGCCTAAAAATTTTGTAGAGAAAAGTCTGACTTGTGGCTTTTGAAATTTCATATTTTTGTTTACTGTTTCCTAAACCGCAAGCTTACAATGAATAGAAGTTTGGAGTGATAATTTGCAAGCTCCGATTTTGAACTTGAAGTTATATCTTCTAGCCATATAGACTTCGTCTCAAATAATTTTTACGGATCGTTCTATTTTTCATGAATCCACTACGTATAGTTGAAAACAAGTTGCCATTGTGGAATTTACACCTCCATCGCAGAGAAAGTTTGTAATAATGTCATCATCCTTAGAAATCCTCTGAGAAATTTAAGCGTGATGTGAAAATTATCGGTGACTGCATTTTGTGGAAGTGTTAAAACGGGTGATCTCAAAAGTGGTTTACGTAATTTTTCCTTGGGAATCAGGCTGCCCGGGAAGGGTGGGGTAGGGGGGACTTTGTGAAAGTTCGGGTAAGGAGATATACCTCTGAAGAATTCAAAGGTCCATTCTAGGTCTATTCAAGACTTCTGGTTTGAAAAGATACTATGTTAAAGACGATTAATACGGAAAATGTAAACAGTTAGTGATTCAAAACCTTGAAAATCGTACCCTGTTTAGCGATGACGGTCTACGGGTGAAGGCGACATAATGGAGTGTCACACACGACAGCATGTCGAGTGACGCCGCGCCGCCCCTCCCCTCCCCTCACTCCCTAACCCAGGACATCATGCTGAGTGACTCCACATTCTAAGCTGTCAACTGGCTTCAAAAGTTGCGTTCCGTTAAATGAGCTGAGCTATCCTCAAATGCTTGTGAAAATATTTTTTCACTATTTTTAGCTTTAACATGCGCTTGATGCGAAATTGATCGATTTTCATCACGTTTTGGCAAAGAAAATCTACGTATCTTCGTCGGGGAAATTCGTTGTTTTGTGAGACCTATTTCATAATTCTTTTAGCAATTAGGGTTGTCAATTTTCAGTTTCTTCGCTCCGACGAAGGGCTAACGCTCGAAACGTCAGCTTTTGTAATCATTACGGTGGCCAATTTACCATTTCAACTTTGTTGATATATCCAAATTATTTCGTTACTCCCACCGACGCAGCCCCAAACAGTTTCTTTCGAAACTATCAGCCTTTTGTCAATTTTCAAGCGACTCTCATCAGGTAATAGAGACTTCAACGATTTCTGAATCATATCAAAAGCATTACTATGGGTAAATTTTTAATGGCCAGACAAAAAAATCGATTTAAACAGGTTCTAATCTGAAAAACGTGAGCGAAGCTGTGAACGTGTACAAGAGAAGCCTCGATCTCAAGATTTAAGAGAATTGACAACATTCGGATCAAAATTGAATCAGATAATTCCCTTAATAAAAGGATCATCGGCATTGAGGCTAAAAACAAATTTAAAGGAAAAGACATATTTGATCGCCTCATATCAGAATCTCGACATACGGGTACCCGGGTGATATAGAAACTGACATGTTTTCGGCTTGATTTTAAGAACATGCCTTCACGGGCGCGCGCCCAAAGTGAAGTTTTTAGCTTTGATGAATGATAAGACTACTAAGTACTTTCTCAATGTAAACAGTTTACGATAAAGCTAACGAAATATCTAAGAAGGTCTTGTAAATTGAAGTAGAACTCTCGAGTAAGATAAATACATTGACATACACATAGATTCGTGGCACAACATCTCATCGGCTGCAAATGATCTCTGGAGGTTACATCTTGAAGGCGTTTTGCAAAGAGGCATAAAAGTATCTGTAGCGCTCTCGTTAAAACTCTGTTTATGAATTTCTGCTGATAATCGCTCTTAACTCAAACAAAAACGCTTCGAAACGCGAGTGATGAATTTTCATGATCATAACCGGACGAAACTTTGACCACAAACGCTCGTTGACTGCATCAGTCGATCCGGCAATAATTTCCTTTCATAATTAAACACACAAACCGCAAAGTCATTATTACGTCTAGACTGGAACACCTGAACACTACTCTATCGATACACAAAACTACCTCGATTCAGTGTATCCTTGATCTTTTGAAAAAAAGGTCGCTCCCCTTTCCTGCCGGTGTTCCAGGCGAATTCAATGTGGCAAACACCTTCCTTCCTCAGCAGGTGTTTGGCGAAGGATATGAATGGAATCCTGAAAGGTTATTTCGCTAAATTATTTTCTGCTGACAAACCAGATGGACGGACAACTTTGGTAACAAAATTCTGTGTCACCGAAGACAGTTCTCCTTGGATTACTTGATAAGACACATCGCTACTTTGAACATGTTTTCCTCTCGATCCAAACGGTATTCAAGAAATTTACCACCCCGCAGAAAATTCTGGGCGAGACTTTGAAATCAATACTCCTTTTACGAGGCAATCTAAAACGTTTTGTGCCCTGCGTCTATACGAAAAAACAACCATAATTTTTCTCCTTGAAACAATCGCATGTTAAACCTTGAAGGAGCATGCAGTTATGTAGAAAAACCCTCTTTCATTGTGCTTTTCCATCGTCATTTCTTTCTTTCACTGCCACTGGCTGAAATAAGTTGATTTCAGCCAACTTCTGACATAAGAGATTACATATGTGTAAAACTCATTAGCAATATTTCGAGTGGTTGCTTATTTTGATAAACCAGACTCAACGTAATTGCAATTTATTTTTTTTTAATCAAAACCACTTTTAGGTGATAGAAAAGGCAACCGGCTTGTTTCGTAGCCAAAAAAGGCACATACCTTTCGATACTTGGTACTCGTCCGATACTTAATGGGTGAAAACATGTCAATTTCCTGTCATAAATTCGCTGGTCAAAAACATGGCAAGTCTTTTTCCCAACCTTCAGCAGAGCTCTTACGAACGCAATGCAAATCTATCAAAGTTTTGCTCTTCCAGGAGAATGCGGTCTTTGACAATTGTCTCTTTAGGTTATCGTACCATCTGCGAATTTTTAGCAGTGACTTGCTAAGCGTGATAAGCCAGTTTGCGCTTCGATATTCCTCTATGATTTTTATTGCTAAATTTGTCTAATCCTTTAGTATTTTACGTTTTTATTCGATGTTTAATATTTCCTTCCTATGTAATCTGATTTCTCCCTCTTTATGTTGTTTTCCTTTTGCGTACTACGACGACAAAAGAATCTTTTCATGACCTCCAAAGATTATCTTTCCGACTTTTATGTATCTCATATTTTCACCTTACGCAACTGTAAGTCACCTAATTGTCGCAATTGTTATTAGCCTCTTGATCTTTCAATCCGGTTTGGCTGGAAACAAACACACTTCAAATTCATGATTGAGACTTTAAGTAGCGCTATAGGTTTAGCTCGGTCATGACATAAAAGGGCATTGGGATGGGGGAGGAAGGGAGGGGAGGGGAGAGGGGGTGCTAAGTCGAACCAACACTAATTATTTATGCCCAATCCTGCTATGGCCTGAATAAAATCCAGCAAAAATAATTTTTCATCGCCGAAAATGTAAAAAAAAAGGAAAAAAGCTATTTACAAAAACCCGGTTCTAAAGAGTATTGAGTGTCAATTTCAGACCGTACAAACCCCCTCCCCCGGGAAGAGCATTTTTTAAATAATATTTTGGCACACTGACAGAGTCAACTTTTAAAAAAATCATTGTGTTGAAATCATTTTGCCAAGCTTCAATTTTTAGCGACTGCTATTTCAGGGTGATAGTTCGAGGCGCAGATTTAAAAGTCAGCCTATTGGCGGCAGATAAATGACAGTAATTCAGAGATGAGAAACAAATAAGTTAATCCCGAAGACTCTGGAGGTCTTTAGTGAAGAGTGCAATACTTACGCAACTACGAAATGTTTTTCAAGCTCTAAAAATATTGGTAGACAAAAACGCACTCACCTGTGTACAGAAGACACGTTGATAAGCTACAATGATTGATTACGGCTTGTCTGTCAGAATGGACATCGAAAGGTTTCCCGCATCTCCTAAAAACTTCCTCGCACGCAGTATCTGCGAACTTTTGTAATTTGTCCTCCTATGAACAAGACGTGAATAAAATGGCCTTTGCCCATCCACGTGCCAACGTTCCTACGTTAACTTCTCCTCATTCCTCTTCGCGAAACTCAATCTTCTCAATGACATGACTTGTCTGCTACCCACGCCAGCTCGAGAGATAGACGACCAAATGGCCGGACTATTTGAACAGAACACGTTGCATCTTGTTTTTTCACGCGGAAATCTAACCTGGATCGCAGTGTAATACAAAGCGGAATCGATGAATGTCTAAAACACCAGAGTGCGTTCGATCACTCGTTCTAGAACACCCCACCCAACATGCAGCCGGCTGCGTAGTTCTCACAAAAGCGTGCGGTATTAAGCGAGAATAAAATTTAATTTGCAACAGATTTACAATCTTGTCAATTTAGCGCTGGTGTTGAGTATCGGTTGAAAGCTATACTCGCGTGGAGTTTCAGCATTCGAGTTCAGAATTGTTTATTCTCGCGGCAGGAAATGTTTAGAGAGCGTTCGCAAACTCCTTTAGTAAGAATGTGATCATGAACCATTCGTGATGTTAGCCTCCTCAGCTAAATTAAAAGTAAACGATGACAGACCGTAAGTGATCAGATCAAACAAAGCGATTGTAGAAGGGCAAAGATTTATTTTCCGGTATTATTCGTCCCACAGTTTGCTTTGCTAAGGGGGGGGGGTCTTTAATATTTCCGAGCCGGGTTGTTCAAAACACGGTTAACCTAACCTGGGGCAAGTATAAAGTTTTAATTTAGACTTATAGCTCTGCAAAGGAATTATTCTTTGTATTTTTTCCCCATTAGTTTCGAGTCATATTGATATAGAAGTCAACAAAACGCTAGCTCTTATACACTCCTCCTTACAGGAGAAATTAAAGCCAAGGTTAACTTTAAATCCCAAGATTAACGTTAACCCCCTATCGATCAACCCGACCCTGGAGTTTTGTATCGAGATATCGCGATCTACTTCCCAGCCCGTACCCTTTTCAAAATAAAAGTTTGGTCTCTGTCGACGCTTTGTATCATACACCCACTGATCGAACTGACAGAGTCTCTTTAATCCTTGACTTTCTTTACAATATTAATAAAATATCATGTTGACGAGTAATGAGAATAAAAAAAATATATCACTCACCGAGGGTATTTTTAGTTGATCCACTAACAAATTCTCCGAATTAAGGAGAATTGCTAATAAGATCTCGTGCGTGAATGTTTCTTTTTATGCGTATGATGAAACACAGTACCTTGCTGAAACATAGGGAACTAAAGTGGCGTTATTATAAAAATGGACTGTCCTCTTTACCAACCTTTTAAATTGATCTTTACTTACGTATTTCTAAACCTAACCTCTTAAGAAATTTATCCTTTTATAAGGAATTATATCGAAAGTAGAGGATTCCTGTGTGGTCCAGTTGTACCTAACTGTCGGAAACTATAGACAATCATTTCGTTGTTGCGTTATGATAAGAAACCGGAAACTTGTGATTATGATCTTTGTTTCGTTTGGGAAAAGGTTGTCTTACATGTTCAGCGAGTTGCAAATGTAATTGCAGAGATTTTTGGTTTTCTAGAATAAAAAGGTGATTTAAAAAGAAATGTGTGTTGGTGCGTTTTCGACACCTCCATCACCACGTGGACCTCCAGTGTGCTCGAATCCCAAAGATAACAAGTGCAAGAGCGTGAATGACGCAAATGTCCTCGCCGCGTACGTGCCAGTAAGTTGCCTTCTCACGATGTGACATTTTCTCACAATCTCCTTACTGTGCTAGCAAAGGTCAAACTGCATACCAAGTTATTAGCTTATCATTATTATCTACCTGGCACGTTCCACATCTTTGGTCTGGTATCCACATGTTCCAAATAAGAACTGTATTGACGAGAATAACGAAAGAGAGAAAAGCACCTGCTGATCCCATCCCAGTCCCCATCAGACAAAAAGTGTCGAGCCGAGCGCTGGATCTGTTGTGGCCCACATCTCTTAGCTTCTCTGCGCGTTTAGCTTGTTTGTAACAGCTGTTTGTTTGTTTCTCCATTTACACTGATACGCGACTGTTTGACAATACACACAACTGAAAGTGTCTTGATCAACTGTTTGTTTGTTTGTTTGTTTGTTTGTTTCCTCAAATAGAATTTTTTGATACGTATGATGCACGATCCTTGCAGTAGATAGCGCTATTTAAGCAATAGCGAAAATCAGACCTGAAAAAAATCAGGCCTGTACGGGATTCGAACCACTGACCTCTGCGATACTAGTGCAGCGCTCTACCAATTGAGCTAACAAGCCAACTGGGAGCAGGCCGTTAAGTTGATTCGTAATAAACCCGTGAAAGTGATAAATCAGATACAATGAAATATATGAAGTTCATATATTTTGAACTGCGGTATTAGATACGTATGATGCACGATCCTCGCAGTAGATAGCGCTATTTAAGCAATAGCGAAAATCAGACCTGAAAAAAATCAGGCCTGTACGGGATTCGAACCACTGACCTCTGCGATACTAGTGCAGCGCTCTACCAATTGAGCTAACAAGCCAACTGGGAGCAGGCCGTTAAGTTGATTCGTAATAAACCCGTGAAAGTGATAAATCAGATACAATGAAATATATGAAGTTCATATATTTTGAACTGCGGTATTAGATACGTATGATGCACGATCCTCGCAGTAGATAGCGCTATTTAAGCAATAGCGAAAATCAGACCTGAAAAAAATCAGGCCTGTACGGGATTCGAACCACTGACCTCTGCGATACTAGTGCAGCGCTCTACCAATTGAGCTAACAAGCCAACTGGGAGCAGGCCGTTAAGTTGATTCGTAATAAACCCGTGAAAGTGATAAATCAGATACAATGAAATATATGAAGTTCATATATTTCATTGTATCTGATTTATCACTTTCACGGGTTTATTACGAATCAACTTAACGGCCTGCTCCCAGTTGGCTTGTTAGCTCAATTGGTAGAGCGCTGCACTAGTATCGCAGAGGTCAGTGGTTCGAATCCCGTACAGGCCTGATTTTTTTCAGGTCTGATTTTCGCTATTGCTTAAATAGCGCTATCTACTGCGAGGATCGTGCATCATACGTATCTAATACCGCAGTTCAAAATATATGAACTTCATATATTTCATTGTATCTGATTTATCACTTTCACGGGTTTATTACGAATCAACTTAACGGCCTGCTCCCAGTTGGCTTGTTAGCTCAATTGGTAGAGCGCTGCACTAGTATCGCAGAGGTCAGTGGTTCGAATCCCGTACAGGCCTGATTTTTTTCAGGTCTGATTTTCGCTATTGCTTAAATAGCGCTATCTACTGCGAGGATCGTGCATCATACGTATCTAATACCGCAGTTCAAAATATATGAACTTCATATATTTCATTGTATCTGATTTATCACTTTCACGGGTTTATTACGAATCAACTTAACGGCCTGCTCCCAGTTGGCTTGTTAGCTCAATTGGTAGAGCGCTGCACTAGTATCGCAGAGGTCAGTGGTTCGAATCCCGTACAGGCCTGATTTTTTTCAGGTCTGATTTTCGCTATTGCTTAAATAACGCTATCTACTGCGAGGATCGTGCATCATACGTATCT